TCTCTCACTCTCTCTCTCATTCATTCTCTCTCTCTCTCCCTCTCGTTCTCTCTCTCTCTCTCTCTCTCTCTCTCTTCATTATTTCTCTCTCATTCCCCCTCCTTCCCACAACCCTTTTAGCCCTTTGTCGTTCTCTATTGCTGTCTCATCTTTTTATTCTCTCCCACTCTAGGTACTTTATACTTCAGTCAGCCCACCCGAACAAATAATATGTTATGCTAATTTCTGAACGTTTTTCGGCGTCATTAAAAACATAATACGATCATCCCATCTCAAACAAAAATTAGTTCTACTTTATTTGGATAAGTTTTGAATGAATCCTGCCTCATACCGTCGGTATTAAAAATAAAACTAACGATTTTCAGAGTTTTCATTTTAATGAAAGGGGTAATCTTTAACTGGAAGTCCTAATACATACATACACATGTGCAGAAACACAATCACGTACAATATCACAAATAGATAACATTTGTATTGCGCAAATCCACAATTCAACAGCAAGCTCTATGCGTTTCACAATCTATACTATACGTACACAGACAGATACAATAACACACATAAATAGACGCACATTTCACCAATGCGTACAGACTTCAGCCACTCCCTTCTTTATGTTTCATCCTCCCCAAGGTCTCCTGAGTGTAAACGTTTCACGTCCCACTTAACACAACGGACATAAACCACAAGGTGTAGAAAAATCCGTTTCATGTTATTCCTGGACGCTTTTTTACGTCTTAGTGAGCATTAATTTTTGCTGAAAATGCTAATAATGTTCAAGGTTTCTTTGCAAACCCTTTTTTGGGGTTTTTTTACAATGCATTCTTGTGCGACTCATTCTGTCAGAAGTCTATTGGTAGATTGTGTCACACATGCACGCAACGATGCATAGTATCGCCAGCAATGTGTTCATGCGCATTTTTTCTCCTCCTCTTAATATCATCACATCTGTCCTGATAAATGATACAAGCAGACTATTATGACGGTGTTCATTGCTTCGATCTATACATCAGAATATTATACCATGCCCGTGGTGTGAAGTTGCGTGATATTCTTTCTCCTTATTTCTCTCTCTCTCTCTCTCTCTCTCTCTCTCTCTCTCTCTCTCTCTCTCTCT